CAACCGGTTATTTCCCACACTATGTGTCTGATAGACTAACTTGAGGCTAAAGACCCCGAGTAATTCTCATGATCAAGCCTTTTCTTCATGGACCACGTCTATGGTAAAATAGGCCTACTGTCAACCAACTAGCTCCAGTCTCCAATCTCCTTTTCAAAATTGAACCTAGTCAAAGCAATTAATACCACAACATTTGTGGGTTGGCACACAAGAGACTAGGGCATAGCAAGTTATATACTTGGTATTGCGGATAGAAACAGGATAGACGCTGCGGAGACTGGAGCTAGTTGGCTGACGGTAGGCCTGTTTTACCATAGACGTGGTCAATGAAGCAAAAGCTTCACCATGAGAATTACTCGGTGTCTTTAATCTCATGTTAGTCTAGCAGATGCAAAGTGTGGGAAATAACGCCTCGTGGAGCACAGATGGGGTGGCAGGGGTCGGGTGAAATACTTGAACCGGGAATAAAGCAGATGGATCCTACGGGGCAAGAGGGAGACTGATAAGACCTATAGAAGGAGGAATGCCTAACAATATGACAGACTCTGATCAACATTCTTAGCACAAGAGGGAAGGGGAGTGAAAACGCCAGCGTGTAGTGTGGAGGATTCTCATGAAAGCCGCTCAAAAGGGCAAACCGCACTACATTCAAATAAGCAAGGAAAAAATTACGATAGTGAAGGCATGATACGAGGATATAGGATAGGTGAGTAGCCATAACTGTTTAGCACACATTTTGTCAAAGGATCGGCTTTACTTGTCACTGACGATTCCGACTAAGAGGCCGGCGAAACGTCTATTAATGTACCATGTCCACGGTCCGACTCGGGAAATTATCATGCATACAATGTATTCCGGACTAGGTGTGTTCCTTTAAGTCTTTCTACCAATATGACCAAGCTGCGAAATAACCTCCATACTTTCTTTTGATTAATCTTGTGGTTTTATCCGATTTAGTTCTAGTAGTATTACATTATTCTGTATTATATTTTTTCGCATAATAACGTTTCTTGCTATAAGCATCCTCATTCGGTCGCAAATATTGGATCCTAGATTTACAGAAATACGAACAATACATGTTACAACTTGCAGTTATTTACATCACTCGCGAGGCTATGCGGCTTAAGTCAACCGCTGTGTTGATGCAGCGCTTTCCTTTTTACCCCCGAATCGCGAAAAATACACTCCTCTCGTCCGTTAACTTGGCACTCACATCTAATCCTAGGGTACTAGGGTGTTTATATGTGTGTTGGCTTGTATCCCTCGTGACCAAGTATGTCACACATTGAAGGAACACACGCGAAAAGTGGAAACGCATAAACTGGTGATCTATATCTGGCCCACTTATACCTTAGCCTTTAATTTCCTGTCCAACATCCCATTGGTGGACTCCCAGGGTAAATTTTTGCCAATTCCATGTTCAGCTTCTCTCACTTCAAACGACTTTTTTTGACTTCCGTTTGTCCTTCATAAGCCACTTCTTGGTGATGTCTCTTCCTGCTGTTGAATAGTTGTCCTGGGTCCAAATGTTTTCTTTTTGATATCTTCACTGAATTCCCAAGTCTGCCCAGGCAATATGCGAAATTATCGCTTACTTTTCTCTCTTCAAATCTTTCGTTCATTAAAGATGTGAAGACCAAGAAGTTGTGGCCTCGGGTATGGTCGCAGTCTCCTTTCGACTTATAGAAGTGGGTTG